TACCTATATAGTCTTACTGTAGCAACTGATGTGGATTCCCATGAGAAACAAAAAGTGATTTTGAGCACTCTGCTAATGGATGGCTCCTACATCTATCAGGTTGGCAGTGATTAAGGCAGAGGAGACAAGCTGAAACTGTCAAGTGCCACTGCTGTGTGACCTTTGGCAAGTTAGTGAAATTCCGAGTTTCCTTACTCATCTGTAATATCAAAGAGACTTAATTCCATCAGAGGGTTAGGATTTAAAAGTCTTTAAAAAGCACCTAAATCACGTAAGTTTAAGGTTTCCAAAAGGATGTAAGGTGAGTAATGCAAGGAATCCAGAGAGGAAGAGATGGGGGTTGGCATGGTCACACAGTCCTCCTAGGGGCTTAACTTCCCTCTGTGCCAAAATGGGGGTGGAGGTGGGGGGCTTAGACTAACATGATCCCTGATGGCTCTATTTGGCTCTTACATCCTAGAAGTCTGATTGTGGTAGACCAGTTATATGACCCTTAGCTTCCTTTCATTGTATTTTCTGTCTTGTTATTGTTTATATTCAGGAAAGCTATTGGCCAGCCATCTTACTCACTTCTTTGATGGAGGCCCTAATGACCTTCCCAAAGATTTCCAGCCTCATGTTGGTATCTCCTAAAAATAAGTAAGTATAGTGGTGGGACTAGATGTGCTTTTATTTTTCCTTTCAGTTGGAAAGGACTTAGGAGTCATGGCTACATCCTTTAGCTAGGGAGAAGGTTGAAAGTTTTCCTCAATGAACAGGAATTTTTTTTCTTTTCTCTTCTTCCCTTATTACCAAGGTTAGCATCAGATGGAGGCTGGAAGGAAATGGGGTAGGAGGTGGGAGGAGGTTACATTTTTTTCTCACTTAAAAAGTCTGTCTCCAAAACAGGTACTTATAACCCAGTTGGCTTTTGGGGCTTGTGTCTTCTGTGCTTGGGCCTTTCTGACTTGAGCCCAGCCAGGGCCTTAACAAATAGAGGTTTGGAGAATTAGAAAGTGAAAGATACTGATTTGGGTGCTTGTATAGAGCCTGGAGCTATTCAAAGTGTTGATGTGGTGTTGTACAGATTATATATGGCTAAAATCCAGTTTGATTAGATGAGGGGCAAGCAATATCTTCACACCAGAGATGAGCTTAACTGCATGTAGAATGGATGTTTTCTAGCAGAAAAGGTTTACAGAAGGTAGTGCTGAGGGTTCAGAGAAGTACAGAAGAGTCACCTCAGCACTGGCATCCTCTCTATTCTCAAACCCAGTTGCCAAAAGCACATGACTGGGCTGGCTCTGGAAATCCCATTTTAGCTCTGGGTTGTGGCCTAGGTCCAAAGGGTTAGTCTTGGGGAAGGAGAGGTAAGGGAGCCAGCCTAACCTCTCCATTTCCTTTCCTTTGTTGTGACTTCTCAGGAGGCCCTGTCTTAATGAAAGCCATATCGCTCTTCTCTGGGCTTAATGTTCTTCCTCTGTAATGTTCCAACCTTGATTCTCTTGCCTTAGGGGTGCTGAAAAAGTCCTAGTGGAATATGGCAACAATTCAGTCAACAGCAAAGCATCTGACTATAGCATTTTATAATCCATGCTGATGGAGACTCTCCATGGCCCTGTGTTTATCTGGGGTGGTGCTGCTGAAATTGCTAGTATATTAAAATAAAGAGCTACAAAATGGTATGGTACCTAGTATAAAACAAGACAGAAGAAAACCCTCAGGCTTTGTATATATGGACTTACATAGTAAAGGACACATTCTCCTTGACTGGGTAAGTAAAGATAAGTAAACGGGTAAAATTCTAAATATTTGGGGAAAAGTTGCTATATACCAAAATGAATTCCAGGAGGAATAAAGGTTTAAGTGTAAAAATTAAAATTATTTTAAAAAAACATATAGGGGTGCCTGGGTGGCTCAGTCGGTTAAGTGTGAGACTTGATCTCATATCAGGTCTCGATTGCATAGTTCTGAGTTCAAGTCCTGTGCTGGGCTCCACACTGGGCATGGAGCCTACTTAAAAAACAAGCCCCCCCAACCACCCAAAAAAAAAAAACAAAACCCATATATTACTTGTCAATGGCTATTAAATTGATCTTGGGATCAATCAAGACTTTCTAAGTACAAGAGCAAATAGAAGAAATCATAAGACTTATAAAACTACCTTAAAATAAAAAACTAGAAACATTTTTGCAATAATCAACAGATGGACACTGTACTTAATCCATAAGGAGACCTTAAAGAAAAACTGGCCAAAAAGCTTCTGAAAAAAATAAATGCCAATCTACAGGATATTCAAATAAATAGAAATTATATCTATGTAATGGAAAGTTTTTTTTTTAACTTACCAAATTAGCGAAGATGTTTGAAACAAGTCCATGCTAGCTAACACAGTAAAAACTTCTGTGGAATTAAAACCACCTTAGGTGTTCATATGCCTTAACCCAATTTCACTTCTAGGAATTTTTCCTTAACAAATATCATTTATTAAAGATGTATGTGCAAGGATATAATTGGTTGGGGACAACTTCAGTGTCAACAACAGGGGACTGTTTTAGAAATTATGACACACATCAACATGTTGGAATATTCTGCAGCTATTAAAAAATCTGCTTTTGAATGATGTAAAAAGTATGATAGAAGACTGAAATAGTGGCAGTTGTTGACTCTGAGTGGTGGCATTAGAAGCGATTTTACCTTTTCTGGATTTTTCAAGTTTCCATTAATTGGTTTTCTTTATAATAGGGAAGAGGTTATTTACAAAAGGGGCAAAAGAAATGAAAACAAACATGGCTGAGTGTACTAAACCATTCCACTGTGGGCGAGGAGGTCAGAAAATTGGGAGTAATACGTCCAAAGCCTAAATCAAGAGTTGTGTAAAAACCCTTGGGAGTTGCCTTTCTCCCCCAAATGAGAAGCTGCTTCTCCAGCAGCTGCCTTGGCTGCCTAGAAGGGTGTGGGAGGAGAAATGCACAAACGCACTTATGAATGGAATGTGTGTTTTGCAAGAGGCCAAGTTGGCAGCTTTGGCTTCCAAAAGGTGGGAGCATCAGCTGAAAGAACAGTGTGTGCAGACTGAGGCCTCAGAGACCTTATGGTTGGGCCCATCTCTATAGAGTTCTGGAGTTGGGGGCCCACTGGGAAACCTCCCATCCAGAAGGAAATGGCCTTGGCTATTCCTAGGAGCAAAGGCGGTATTCTTGGCACATGGAACCTAATTTGTTCTGTGATCCTGCACTTGGAAGATGCTCCTCAGTAAATGTCATTTATTGAACATTTAATGTGGGGTTTTCCCTAATTTAATCCTCATAACCTCATGAAGTGGTACTAATGTCCCCATTTTAAAAGTGAGTTAACAGGCTCAGAGAGGGAAAGTCCTTATATATATATAGCCCACTATTCTGTCATTTTTCCACAAGCTGGATTATTGAATTTTCACAATAATCCTTAAAAAGATAATTCTCAATTTATAAGCTATGAAAATATACTCAGATGAGATTAAGTGGCTTGCCCAGAAGCAGAGCTGAAGTGCCAGGCCAGATCTGTCCATATTCAAAGGCAGACACAATTATTTTGTCTCAGGACTGGAGTCTCAAGAAGTAAACAGCAGCTAAGCTCTTACAGCTTTGGAGCACAGCTGGGGGTGGGGAAAGAACTCAGTAACATTGTCAGTTTCAAGATAATCTCAGGGCCTTCACTGTATGTATGCCTGGGGAACTTTCAGCTTTACAAGGGAGCTTCAAGTTGCAGTGTCTTGATCCTAAATCAAGCTCTTCAGTTCTGGCTCCTGGTTCCCAACTTTTACATAGGGCTGGCTCTTATAGAAGTTAAACGGTTAAAAACACTGCCTCAAATGCCCAACCTTGAGAATCAATTTTAGGTATTCTAATTATAAAAGCAACATACGGTGATTTAAAACCAAAACAGCCAAAAGCAATTTGGTAACACCTAATCTTCTGATCCCGCTACATTTAACATACAGCCTTCCAGGTTTTGTTCTAAGCCTATGTATGTCTTTGTGTATCTTTATCTACAAAAAAAGGATTCAAACTATACATACTATTCTGTAAGCCTCTATATTTCTACAGCATATACTGGGAATGCATAATGACAGCACAACAATCCCGTGAGGTGTGTACTCAAGTTCACATAATATGTAGGGAAGCTAGGATTCAGAGTCCGTCTGTATCCAGAGGTCAACTGCTACTTCTTGCAGATCTCTTTTTACTAGAAATTTTATTTACACGCACATAATTTTTAAAAATGGCTACCAAGAATTCCATTGGGCTCCCCCTGTGGTATCTCCTCCATACATGTTTGTGTGCATCTATACTATTATTATAGTATGCTACTATAGAAGTGGAATTGCTGGATCCCAGTGTACGAAGCAACTTACAAGGGTTTTGGTATGATACATATTGTATGCTGGATTAGTTCATCTTTTCCAGAGGGCAGATAAATATTTGTTTCAGAGTTGTATGTACCTGTACCCATGTCCTTTCCAACACAGAATGTTAATATTTTGAGTTGATAAAAAAGCAGAGGAGTAGCTTTCACTGAATTTGAAGCTTTCAGTTTTAAGCGGGAGATCCGATATGATGGAGGCACCTACTGGTGAAGGGTGACAGTGCAATCTCACTGAAGGGTGGGGGAAGGAAGCATTCCTAAAAATGGAATTGGAAGGGTGCTTCCAGTGTTGGTAAAAAGCAGTCTTCCACTCTCCTGTGTGTGGACCTGCCAGATTTTCAGTTCAACCTTTTTCCTTTTTAAAACAGCTGTCAGTGAGAAAAGTTTGCCTTACATAAATTTGCTTCATAGATAACAGCTTTGACAACCTGCATAATGGCTGGATTTTCTCCATAGCAAAGTCCCTCCCTCCTGGTTTCCTTACCTACATATACCATTTAATAGGAGTGTTACATGGAACGAGCACCTACTACAAATTCCCTGTGTATAAGTCCACTGACATAAAGAAAGAAAGTACAAACTGGTTTCCTTCTCATCCTGTTTTAAGATGAGGATGCTTAAATCTTACACATTTATTGAACATGCATACATGCCATATAAATGCACCGAACTTCTTAAGTGGTACACCATTTCCACAAAAGCTGTCTGCTAGATAGAAAGGCTGCAGCCTGACCACATTCTCTGCCACTGCCCACGAGGGATAAGAAACAGCACATGGAAAATGATGGGCAGACTCACGAACACATGTTTGGGGTGGTGCTTTCCTCTTCATCTTTTATTCCCATCAGTCCTAGGCCAGAGAATGATCCGTGAGTGCTGCAACAAATGAGTGAAGATAGGTTTCTAATCCACAGGGTTAAAAGAATGGTTACCAACTCCTAGGTAAGAAGTGGTAAGTTTTTTGGGGTATGTATATGGGGCAGGGCATAGACAGGTAAAGCAGTTGATGGAAAGCTGCCTACTGAAAATGGTTCCATGGAAGGAACACTGACGAGTCCCAGAGGCCTGGAATCAAGTCAGCTCTGCTATTGAACAGATGTGAGGCAGATCTCAACCCAGGGTGAATGACCTCAAACGGAGCCTCAATTTCTTCAATTATAAAAATATTAAATACTTAAATTACTATCCTCACAGGGCTTTTGTGAGGACTATGGACAATGATAGCTAAAATATACAGATCATTTCCTCATACTTTCCTCATACATCATACAGATCATTCACCATGTACCAAGCATTATTTTAAGTACCTTATATATGCACTCATTTAATCCTTCAAAACAGCTTATGTACCTAAAATAGGTACTGATGCAGGTACAATTGTTACGTCCACTTTTCTAAAAGAATCAAACTCATAGTTGCTCAACAAGTTGAGTGACAGAACCAGGTAATAATGGTAATCTGCCATCAAGAGTCCTTTTAAATAATGTATGTTGTAAAACACTCGGTACAGTGGCTGGAATGTAGGCGTCATTCAGTACATGTTAGTTCCCTGCCACCTTGTAGGGAATATTCAAGGGTTTGGGTTAGACAGCTGAGGACCTCTCCAAGGCAAAGCAGATAGAAGTGAGAAGACTGTCACCACCTGATGTCTGAACTTACGCTAATAAGCACTAGCCTTTTGGGCAGGGGGGACTGGGACTGGAACTCTGAGTGCAGGAGAGTGGCTCTGGAATCAGACCCATCAGGGTTCAAATCCTAACTGCACTTACTAGCTGTGTGACCTTAGGCAAACTCCTTAATCTGAGCCTTTTTCTCCACTTGTTAAATGAGGACTCAACAACCTCAACTGAAAACACTTATTAAGGGTTTGATGAATTATGGCAAATACAGCAATATTTTCAATATTAATCTTAGCATCTACTGAAAAGATAAGAATTAAGAGCTGAGTCAGGCTCCAAGCATGAGGAAACCTATTCTCTTTGCTACTCCTTGCTGAGCTACTTTTACCCTTTCCCAAGGCATTGGGATCATGGAGAAAGCTGCAAAGATGAGGCCCAGAGAAGTTAATCACACAGCAAGCCTATAGTTTGGGTAAATGCGTGCTCCTTCTGGGTTTGCTCAACAAGGCTACAGACATCAAAATGTAACTTTTAGAAGAAAGGAGCGGGGTGCCTGGGTGGCTCAGCTGGTTAAGCAGCTAGCTCTTGATTTCATCATGATCTCAAGAGTCCTGAGATTGAGCCCCGCAGTGGGTGGGGAGCAGCTCTGTGCCCAGCAGTGAGTCCACTTAAGATTCTCTCCCTCTTCCCCTCCCCTCCCTCAAACAAGTCAATCTTTAAAATAAAAGGAACATTAGATTTCCTTACTGCAGGATCTGCTATTTCCAGAGTTTTTTCATGATTTGTCATATGTGTCTAGGACCTTTGCCTTAGTCAGAACCTAAGCCTTTCTGTTCCCTGACCCCAATGCTCCCTTCCTCAGGCCCTCATCCACTGTGGAATAACCTGGCCACTTCTGGGAGGAGGAAGCTTGGGCCTACTCTTAGCTTGCCTACAAAATGAAGAACTGCAATCTAAGATTCTACCTGGAAGATGAAGACCCAGCCCCTTATTCTATCACCCCCTCCACATACTGGCTCTGAGAAGCTATGTCAGGGCACGTCTGTTCTGAACCAAAAAGCTTTTTTGGCAACTTATATTCACCTCATGCTGTTAACCTACCCACAAAAGCCTGTTTAAAGTATATCAGTCTAAGATGGGGTTTTTTTTGTTTGTTTCAAATGTAAACACTTAATAGTTCCTGTTCCTCATAGACAGCAATTCTCTCAAGCTGCCCAGCAGGTAGCCCATCTCCCTAGTGGCCCTGAGATGCATGTCACAAGGATTTTATGACAGGAAATTAATTTCTGATCAGGTTTCAAGGCCTGAGGCATTCATGTTCTGTCGTCTGGGACCTTGGGCCTGGAAAAGAATCCTAGAATGTCAAAATTTTAAGGGACTTTTTAGAAATAAATACAATCTAGTGATTTTCGAACTGTGCTGAAAACAGCTACTGCCCTCTCATCCCTCTCCCCCAATATATACTCATCCACCACCCACTCATTTCAGAACTGCCTATCTTTATGCTTTAGGATTTAACAGCAATTTTTCTTTTAAAGAAAAGGTTTTATAGTTGAAAGGGTTTGAAAATCACTGATTTACTCCAAATCTCTCATTTTACCAAAAGGAAATTGAAACCCACAGTGGGAAAGTGGCTTGGCCACTTATCAGAGGAGGTATGTAATAGAGCTGGGACTGGACCCAGAGTTCTGTTCCATTATCCTGCAGGCTTAGAATCAGCAAAGAGGGAAATGGGAGAAGGCAGGAACATGCTCCTCAAATGTGGGAAAGATCATATCTGGTCTGGGCCTTCCCCCAGACCTTCTTTGACTATTTTTACTCAAGTGGGGTTAGGCCGCTGCCTCTTATCCCACAGAGGCTGCAGGACCTAAGACCTCTGGCTTTAAACTGGGATGAGCGATCTCCCTGAGTGGCTAATAAGAGTAATTAGAGAAGAGCATATATACGTAAAAGGGAGATATAATACCTATCTCTTAAAAACTAAGGATTAAGAGAGGATTTCTATAAGTTCTCATTTATATGCCTGAATGTCAACGAAAGGCCTTTCTCTAAGAATAGCTAAAGTCCCAGAGGCCAGAATCCTGAAGGGACAACCCTTCAGTCCTTACCTCTTGGTTCCTGGCAGCAAGATGAGGCAGAGGGTGCCTGGCCCCAGGCTGTGGTAGAGCTTTCCTATCTTCCGGCCCCAGCGCCAGGCTGCTATCTTTGGGTGGTCCACCTTCAGAGCCTACGATCAAAGCCACATGTTGACACTCAGCCAGAGTATCCTCTGCTCCCCTTTGGAGGGGCTGCAACTTTCTTCTTCAGGCTCTAGGACCATGGGATTCCCAGGAAAGGTTCTGTGAAAATCCTCTATCTGAAGCTAAAGCCCATACTTCAGGGTTCCCTGTCAACCCCAGCATCTCCAGGCCACAGGTAGTTTAGGAGTACAACCGTTGTTCTTTTCTCCATATGGATTGGGTCTTCCAGGGCCCTGAGGCAGAGGAACCACATCACTAATGGCCCCTGCCATTAAGTATCTTTGTGACCTGGGCAAATCACTCAACCAGCTCTGGCCTCTATTTCTCATCTGTTAAGTGTGGGAGATTAGACCAGGACAGGGTTTACCAAACTTCAGCCATTCACCTTCAACCTTCACCCTTCTACTTGTGTATCCCTCTAATTGTTTTCTTCAAAGCGAGTCAGTTTCTTCCTTCACCTCAATGAAATATATCTATGAAGGCATAGGCTCAATGTGATTGTTGTATAATAAGCGTTAGAACAAGATCTTAGCATAAAATTGGGGGAAAAAGCCTATCTATGACCACTAAAAATTATCTTGTGTATGTACTACACTTTGGGTTGCTAGATTACTAAAGACTTGCCCGGCTCTTTAACCTCCTGTGTTAGCCCCTCAAGTTCCCTTGGAGAGCCACCTGGAGGATTAAAAGCCTAATTGTAGCAGGTATGGAGCAGGCAAAAGTATGAGATCTTGGAGAAAGAAAAATGTGTCCAGGGCTGGAAGAAGCTGGAGAGTGAAATAAAACTAGTGCCAGGGCAGGGGGGGAAAAAAAAAGGGCGCCTGGGTGGCTCAGTCGTTAAGCGTCTGCCTTTGGCTCAGGTCATGACCCCAGAGTCCTGGGATCGAGCCCCGCATCAGGCTCCCTGCCCAGCGGGGAAGCCTGCTTCTCCCTCTCCCACTCCCCCTGCTTGTGCTCTCTCTCTTGCTGTGTCTCTCTCTGTCAAATAAATAAAATCTTAAAAAAAAAAAAAATTTATAAAAAAAAAAAAATTCAAAGGCTTAAGTGTCACTTGAGCTGGACTCTCCTAACTTCCATAAACACCAGAAGGCAAATCAATGCTTCGAGCTAGCAAACCAAGGCAGCTATCTCTGACACTAGGATACACTCACTCACTCACTCACCCACTCACCTGTAAGGCCTGCTGCTCGGAGGGGGGAGGTATGACACGAACCCCTGGGGGCCTTCTTGATTCAGGAGGTAAGCCCCTGAGCCAAGCATGGAGATGCCTGGGGGTTAGGGCATGCCGGCCCTTCAGCTTCCAGTCCTTGCCTTTGAGAATGTTGAGGGCTCTTTGGGCACTGCCAAAAGTTTTGAATTCTGAAAGCAAGAATAGCCCCTTCTGTTATTAAGGGCCACAAAGCCTGGTCACCGTCCAGGCTGGAGGCCAGCCAAGGCCAAGGGAGAACAGAATCAGCTGGTAACGTGGTCCAGCATCCCAGGTGGGCTTATCTGGTGAACATTTCCCTTCTCTGACCTCATGTTATCACCATCCCTAATCTCCTTACCCAAGGTTACATTCCATACAGCAGACTTACTCAGGAAACAGTATCTTTTTTGCTTCCCACTTTTAAGATCTTTAGGCAAGATGACAGCTTCCAGGCCAAGGAAGAGGTTGGACTGCTGCAGTAGGTGTTCTTTAAAGGTTTCGCTCACTCCAGACAGGTATATAGTACCTCGGTTCTCAGAATCTTGTTCTAGCTCATTCACAAGAGTGTTACAATCAAGGGTGAGCTCTGTCACAGGCCTCTGCACCTAACCAAGGAAGATGGCATTAGTGGTAGAAAGTCACCACTTAGGGGTGCCTTAGTGGCGCAGTTGGTTAAGCCTCCAACTCTTGGTTTTGGCTCAGGTCATGATTTCAGGGTTGTGAGATCAAAGCCTTGCACTGGGCTCCTCCACGCTCAACGCAGAGTCTACCTGGGACTCTTTCCCTCCCCCTCTCCCTCTGCCCCTCCTCCCTGCTCTCTCTCAAAATAATAAATCTTAAAAAAAAAAAAAAAAGGCCTCTACTTCAACCTTTAGGCCTATTCTATACTAGCAAGTAACTTAATTCTGTAGTTTCCTTATCTGTGTAAGGAGGCTAGTGATAAATGCCTCAGAGGACTACAGTAGAGACTTAATAAATACATAAATACAAATGTTTTTGTGTAAACATACTCTCTCCTCCCTTTCCTCCCTGCCCAAACACCCTGCAATGGAAATGAGTTCCCTGACTTCTATGCCAATGAAACTGATTATTTGCATAAGAAACTTCAAAACACTATTTGATCCCCCTGAAAGCTAAAGGAAAGGGCAGCTACAGAAAAACACCCAGAATAAACCATCTAGGGTCTAAGTGGTGATGAAGAATACAAGGAAGACCCCAATGTAGCCCAGGCTGATTCTGACAAAAATGAAAGTGTTCATGTTTTAGGTCACTGCTAGAAGAATGCTGGGCTTGGCTGAAGACTTTCCATGACACAAAGTCTTGTGCTCGGGCCTCTTGAGGGCTTTTCTCTAAGCTTTTATATACTAGGGCACTATAAATACAGGCTGTGCTAGGTCAGGGCTGAATGAAGGGTGCTCCTTTTTGCTTTCTCTGGCCACTGTACCTTAATGCAGGCACCTTCTACCAGAATGCCATCCAAGGATTCTATGGCCAGCTGGGCAGCTTCCAGGACTTCATACTGTATACAGAGATGTGGCTGCAGAAAAAAAAAAAAAAAGATTTTCTTATCTCTGCTTTCTAGGCTCAAACTGCTAGAGGAGGGACTGGGAAAGGGCCCTAAACTAGTGGCCAAAGCCACCAAAATGAATGTTCTCTTTGCTGTGCTGGGCTAGACAGCAATTGCAGATCAACTTTAAGTAGAATCACCAAGGTTAAAGAACTGATTTCTCAGCCAATAAATAACCTTTATTTGTCAATTAAAACTGAAGTCTTCTCGCCCCAGGTGGTATGGGCAAAGCACTAATAAATGTTTACTAACCAACTTGCTTTTCAATATTATTTATTATGAACCACTGAAGTCATCACTGCAAGTCATTTAGATTCTCATTTGTCTTGAGAGCTTAATTTCACACAGGCAGCTTTCCTATAAGCTTGGGGAGGTTAAGTGCTTCCACTGGATAGGCTGCATCTTCAAACTGACTGCTTTTCTGCTTGATGATGTGACATACAGCATCATCATGGAGACAAAAGTGCTCCGAGAGAAAAGCTTCATGATACTGGATTTGGAAACGATTTCCTGAATGTGACACCAAAAGCAGAGGTAACAAAAGACAAATTGGACTTTATCAGAATTAAAAAGTGCATCAAAGGACACTATCAACAGTGTCAAAAAAGCAATCCTATGAATGGGAGAAGATATTTGCAAATCATATATCTTAACGAAGATTTCATATCTTTAAAATACATAAACTCCTAAAACTCAACAAAAAATCAAATAATCCAATTAAAAATAGGCAAAGGACTTGAATAGGTATTTCTCCAAAGAAGTGGCCAAAGTGACCAATAAGCACATGAAAAGATATAAATGATTAGTGATATACCAATATCACTAATCATTAGGGAGATGCAAATCAAAACCATGAGCTACTACTTCACATCCATTAGGATGGCTAGTACTTTAAGAAAGAAAGACAAAGAAGAAAGGAAGAGGAAGAATGAGAGAAAAAAAACAAGTGTCAGCTGGAATATAGAGAAACAGGCGTGTAAAATGGTATAGCCACTGTGGAAAACAGTATGGCAGTTCCTGAAATTATACACAGAATTATCATTTAACCCAGCAATTGTACTTTGGGTATATACCCACAAGACTTAAAAACAGAGACTCCAATGGATATTTGTACACCTATATTCACAGCAGTATTATTCAGAATAGCCAAAAAGTGGAAACAATCCAAATGTTCATCAACATGAATGGATAAACAAAATGTAGTACATCCCCACACAATGGGCTATTGTATCTGTCCTTGAAAAGGAATGAGATTCTGACACATGCCACAGCATGGATGAAACTTGAAGACATTCCGCTGAGTGAAATAAGCCAGACACAAAAGGACAAGTACTACATGATTTCACTTACAGGATGTATAACAGAGCAGGCAAATTCATAAAAACGGAAAGCACAATAGTGCGTACCACGCCTAGCGGACAGGGACTGAAGAGTTATTGTTTAAGGGGTACAGAGTTTCAGTTTGGGATGATGAAAAATTTCTGGATACATTCCAAGACCCCCAGCAGATGCCTGAAACCAAGGAGAGTACTGAACCCTATAAATACTACGTCTTTTCCTATAGATTTTTGTACTTGACAAGGTTTAATTTATAAATTAGGCACAGTAAGAGATTAAAACAATAACAAATAATAAAATAATTATAACAATATACTGTAATAAAGTTATGTGAATGTGGCCTCTATCTCAAAATATTCCACTGTACTTACCCTTCTTGTGATGATGTGAGACGATAAAATGCCTATTTGACAAGATGCTGTAAGGTGAGTGACATACACAGGCACTGTGAGGTAGTGTTAGGCTACTGATGACTTTCGGATGATATGTCAGAAAGTATCAGCTGCTTCTGGACTATGAGTAACTGAAACCATGCCTAAGGGGGTACTACTATACTTAGTAACACAGAACTGTATATTTAAAAAGTTAAAACAAATTTTATATATATTTTACCAAAAAAAGATAAAAAAAAACCCAAGACTTATAGCAAGAGGTTATAGTCCCCAGACATATACTTCCCATCCCTTAGGTCCATCTTCCCGGGGAATCTATTTCTATTTTTAGGTATAAGACAGACATTAATAAAAGATTCAGAGAAAGCACATTTTAAACATTCAGGATTCTGTACTTAGATCACTTTTAAAGATGGCAGATCTCCTGATTCTCAAAACAGAGAATCTGGCAATACTGGGTACACATCCTTGTGAGTCAAGAACTGTTTCATCACACAGCATGACTCACTCTAGTATGTGACAATCAAGCTCACATCACTAATATTTGTTACATGAATGGCCCCAGGGGGCATCTGAATTTCCAACACTAATCTAGAGGTGAAAATTCAAGTTTTATCATCTCATTACCTGATGGGTTTCAAGAACAAGAGTCATTGACCGGATTGGGCCAAAGCTCTTAAACAGCCTTTTCAGAGCCCTGAGGTTGCAAGTTTTGCTAAATGGCCCAGCATAAATAGTCGACATCTCTGTCCACTTGATTCTCATCTACAAGAAAAATAGAATACAGTGAGGAAGTGAATGTGGTAAGAGAATTAAGTCAAATCTAAAGAAAACATGAGTCAAAACATGGGCTAATTCTGGTTTAAGAAATTTCTCAACACAAACACTTGCTGAGTGTACAAAAATTTGTATACAGGGATTTGACAACTGCATTATTTGGAATAGCAAAAATTTATAAAGCACCAATGATGAAAATAATAGGAATAGAATACAGGGAAATACTATACAGCCATTAAAAGTAAGGGAAATAAGATCATGACTGACATGAAAAGATGTACACAATACATTGCTAAATGAAAAAGTTGCCAAATAGTATATACATAGTTTGATTCCCACTTTTATAAAAATGAATTTTCTAAAATATTAATAAACACAGAGAAAAAATCTGAAGAAATATAGAACAAACTTATTAAAGTATGCATTACTTTCCTTAATACAGGGAGATTATAACTCATTAAATAAATCTTCTAGCACAACTCATTTACTTACCCTCTTGTTCATCTCCTCGGTGAGGCTGGGTGAAAAGGGTTCAAAAGAGAACTGGACGATGCTGAAGGGAAACAGAGGGATTTCCACTCTGGCCTGCTCAAGAACCTACAGAGAAGAGCAAAGCCTGAATGAGGCAGGAACCTAGTGGCTCCTGGAGGTGAGCCATAATAATATAAACAAAGCTGCCTTTTTACCCATATTAAAAAGCAATATCGGACTGACTTTAAGGTCTGAAAGAAAATGGTGATCCTAGAATACAGTAAAAAGAGCTGGTAAAATCATGCAGGACCCGTGCCTTTAGCATTACTAAGAAAAAGAGACTACTAGAACCTTCAAATTACCTCTAAGAAGTAAGTTAGATTCTAACAGAACTCCCACCATCTTGTACTGTTAAAGTGTGTTACTAAAGACAGCAGGAAGAGGAGGCTTAAAAGACTCTGGAAAGAAATCAAGATGCATGGAAAACTTAGATGAAGTACAAATAAAATTACCCCCAGAAAGAAAAAGTACAACCAAATGCCAAAATAACAAACACAGGTCACAACTTTAATATTTCACAGCACTTGATTACAGGGAAGAGGTTTGGCAGCCTCAGAGAAATGCTCTGGAAAAGAATAAGGTATACAGAGAAGAGATACTGCGGGGAAGGGAAAGAAGGAAATAACACCCCCCCCAATCCAACCTCACACAATGCAACCCAGAAGAAACCTCCCACACTGGGGATTGTCCCTTGGACAGAAACATGCGTGGACCTTGTATTTAACAGTTTGGCTTGTCTTGAAGCTGCCTTAGGGACTAGTTTCTGTCTCAAACTTGACTCAAAGCACTTGATGGCACTGGCAGCATCGTATGGAAACTCCTGAAAAGGAGTGATGTCAACAAGGTCACAGACTAGGAAGCTTCAGGCCCTCATTCTTCCACAGACACCAAGTTAACAACAAAGAGACCAGAATACCAGTTTGCAAGAACTCTAAAGACCAACTGAGAAGCAACAGCACCAAGACCAACAAAAAAACCCAAGGAATTCCAGCAAAAGGGAAAGGAAAATACGCAGAGTTTTGTGTGCCCACCTATGTTCCTCCCCCCATCCTTCCTACACTTGAGATCCTCGCTCTGGATGGAAACAAAAGAGGGGACTCTGCGTCCAATAGTATGGCTAGTCTGGGGTTGCCTGAGAGACTAGTTTCTGTCTCACTTGACTAGAGCACTAATGGGATAGGCAGCCTTGTTTGGAAGCCACTGAAAACAAATGCCATCATCATAGCACATTAGAGCTGCAGTTCCACAGGCAGATGTCAAAGGGAGCAAGAGATTATGAGCACTGAGAAGAAACAGACAAGCTCCTTAGGGAATCTAAAAGTACACACACAGGCTCAGAGAACATACATCCTCAAACTGGTTGGAGAGGTCCTGGAACCTCTAGCTGGGCTAATCAGTGAAAGTCTTCTGTGATGCCAGGTTATAATGATGGGACAGGTAGTTGTTTTTTTCAAATGATTAGGTCTCAATAAAAAAGATCACAAGGCATGCAAAGAAATAGGGAAAAATGGCCCAAAGGAACAAAATAACATTCCAGAAATCAAACCTAAAGAAACACAGAATGAACTAAAAGAGAACAAAGACAATTAATGGACTCAGAAAAATGATGCATGAACAAAATGAGAATATCAACAAAGAGCAACCATAAAAAATGAACCAAACAAATTCTGGAGCTGGAAAACGCAAGTGAATTGAAAAATTCACCAAAGGGGTTCAACATCAGATTTGATCAGGCAGAAGAAAGAATTAGCAAACATAAAAACAGATCATTTGAAATCATCAATCAGAGTAAAAAGAAAAAAGAATGAGGAAACATAAATAGATCCTAAGATGGGACATCAAGACCAATACACATATAATGGGATCCTGGAAGAAGAGAGAAAGGGACATAGAGCTTATTTGAAGTAATAATGCCTAAAAACTTCCCAAATCTGAGGAAAGAAATGAAGAATGGAAATTCAAGAAGCTCAAAGAACTCCAACCAGGAAAATCCAATAAATCTAAGGAAGCCCACACAAAGACACATTACAATCAAACTGTCAAAAGTCAAAATCAAGGAGAGAATCTTGAGAATATCAAGAGAAAAGTAACTCATTACATACAAGGGAACTTCCTTAAAATTATCAGTGGACTCAGCAGAAACCTGCAGACCATACGAGTGGCATGATAGAGTCAAAGTGTTAAAAGGGGAAAAAAAAATCAAGAATACTGTAGCCAGCAGAACTCTGCTTCAAAAATGAAGGAGAAATTAAGATTTTCCCATATTAAAAAAAAAAAAATGACAAAATTCATTACAACTAGACCTGATCTGCAAGAAATGCTAAAGGGAGTCCTTCAAGATGAAAGAACATTAGACAGCAACATGAAGCCACATTAAAACAGTTTCCAGGAAAGGTGAACATGGGAACCAATACAGTAACCTCTATGAAGGTAATTTTGTTGTATAAGTTTATTTTTAATTCTTATTCAAAACTTAAATGACAAAAACATGAATAACTATATTCCTGTTAATGAATATACAATCTATATAGATGTGATTATTCAATGAATATTTACTTACTTTCAAAATCTAATTTACTGGTAACCTTTTCTCTCTTATTTTTTTATTTTTTGAGTATAGTGGACACACACTGTTACATTAGTTTCAGGTGCACAACAGTGATTCAGCATCTCTGTATGTTGTGCTGTGCTCACCACAAGTGTAACTCCCATCTGTCACCATACAATGCTATTACAGTATCATTGGCTATATTTCCTATGCTGCACCTTTATATAAAGGTGCAATTTATGACATCAGTAACGAAGTGGGGGGGTGGAGCTTATAAAAGTTCAGTTTCTGTATGCAGTTGAAATTAAATTGTTATCAGCTTAAAACAGAATGTATAGATGTTAAGATGTTTTATGTAATTGCAATAACTAAAAGGAAAATATTTATAGAATATAATACACAAAAGGAAGTAAGAAATAGAAAATTATGTCACTACAAAAAAATCAATGAAACACTAAGGAGGACAGTAGAGAGGAAAAGAGGGACAAAAGCTACAAGATATACAGAAAACAAACAGAAACAGTAAGCCCTTCCAATTTAGTAATCACTTTAAAAAAGTATCAGCAAACTGAATTCAAAAGCACATTAAAAGGATTATACATCATGACCAATGGGATTATCCCTGGAATGCAAGAATGGTCCAACATATGAAAATCATCCCACCTTAATGGAAAGAAGGACAAAAACCACAAGAGCATCTCAATTGATGCAGAAAAAGTATTTGACATGATTCAGCACTCTTTCATGATAAAAACACTCAACAAACTAATAACAGAAGGAAACTACCTAACAGAATAAAGGCCATATATGAAAAGCCCACAGCTAATATATTCAAAGGTGAAGAGCTGAAAGGCTTTTCTCTAAGACAAGAAACAATGATGCCTGCTCTTGCCGCCTCTATTCAACACAGTATTGGGAGTCCTAGCCGGAGCAACTAGGCAAGAAAAAGAAATAAAAAGCATCCAAACTGGAAAGAAGTAAAATCATCTTTGTTCACCTATGAGATGTAGAAAACCCTAAAGATTGCATAGAAATACCATTAGAATATATGACTTCTTCAAAGTTGAAGGATATAAAGTCAAGACACAAAAATCAATTGTGTTTCTATATACCAAAATGAACAATCAGAACAGGAAAGTAAGGGGGGAAAAATCTCATTTACAAAAGCATCACAAAAGAATAAAATTCTTAGACATAAACCTAACCAAGGAGATGAAACACTCATAATGCTAAAAACTACAAAACACTGCTGAAAAATCAGAGATAATAGAAACATTCCCATGTTTACAGATAGGAACACAACAATACCATTAAGATGTCAATAGTACCCAAAGCAACCTACAGATTCTACGTAATCCCTTTTAAAATTCTAATGTCTTTTTTTTTGTCAGTTTTTTTTTCAGAAATAGAAAAAAAATCATCCTAAAATCCTTATAGAATCTCAAATAATTTTGAAAAGAAGAACAAAGTTGCAAGACACAAGTTTCCTGATTTCAAAACATATTAAAAAGTTACACTAATCAGGGCGCCTGGGTGGCTCAGTTGGTTAAGCGACTGCCTTCGGCTCAGGTCATGATCCTGGAGTCCTGGGATCGAGTTCCGCATCGGGCTCCCTCCTCAGCAGGGAGTCTGCTTCTCCCTCTGACCCTCTTCCCTCTCATGCTCTCTCTCATTCTCTCTCTCTCAAATAAATAAGTAAAATCTTAAAAAAAAAAAAAGTTACACTAACCAAACAGTATGGCAGTGGCATAAAGACAGACATATAGACCATGGAACAGAACAGATTTCAGAAATAAATCCTTGTCTATACGGTCAAATGATTTTTGACAAAAGTATCAAGACCATTCAATGAAAAAGCATAGTCTCTTCAACAAAGTGGTACTGGAAAAACTGGATATCCACATGGAAAAGAGGGAAGTTGGAAACTTACCTTACATATATATAAAAATCAACCCAAAATAGATTAAACACCTAAAAGTAAGATCCAGAACTAGAAAACTCCTAGAAGAAAACAGAGTTTTGAAAAGCTTCATAATATTGGATCTGGCAATGATTTCTTAGGTATGACATCAAAAGCATGGAGAACAAAAGCAAAACAGACAAGTTTTCAGTTCATCAAAACACAATCAGCAGAGTGAAAAGGCAACCTATGGAATGAGAAAATGTCTGCAAATCATATATCTGACGGAATTAAAATCCAGAATATACAGAATATAAATATATAAAGAACTCCTAAAACTTTAACAAAAAACCCAGTTTGAAAATGAGACTTGAATAAACATTTCTTAGAAGATTATATACAAATGGCTAGCAAACACAAGAAAAAAAAACGAGATTCAACATCACTAATTACCAGATGACCATGAGATATCACCTCACACCCATTAGGATGGCTACTATCAAAAAAAAAAAGAGAGAGAGAAAAGTAAAAGTGTTGGCAGAGATTTGGAAAAGCTGGAATTCTTACGCACTTTTTGTAGGAGTATAAAAAATGCTGCAACTACCATGGTGAACACTA